TGGCGCTGCGGCAGGACCCCGGGCTGCCCCAGTTCGTCTGCAAGAAATGCCATGCCCAGTTCTACAAATGCCGCAGCGTCCTCCGCACCTTCATCCAGCGGGTGAACGCCTCGCCCACCGGCCACGCCAAGGCCAAAGGAAAGTACGTGGCCTTTCTTTCCCCCCGGGAGCAGCGCCGTCCCGCGCGCGGCCGCTCCGTAACCGCGCTGTGCCGCTCTGGTTTTGCAGGAGCGGCGCGGTGCAGCCCCAGCCGGGCGCCGAAGGAGCTGCTGCCTGCCTGGGTGAGTTCCTGCCTGTGGAGACGCTTCCCTTCTCCTTCCCTGGGTTTTATGGGCGTCAAAGAGGGATCACCCAGCGGGGCGGGTCCTGCGCTCCTTGCTCTGGCTGGTTATGGTTCCTCCAGCTCTCCAGGAGGATCTGCCGGCCTCCCCAAGCAGAGCTGAACGGGCACAGGCTGAGACAGGGGGTACGGAGAGCAGGCAGAGCAAGTTGGGGAGGCAGTGCCAGGCCTGTCCCAGCCACCAGCAAACACAGGGGGCAATCAGAAATACATTTTCTGCCATAAAATACACTTTGAGCTGTAAAACATCTTTTGAGCTTTGAAGGTAATGCTATTGTCAGACACTGGGACTGCCCCCACCCAGCCAGCTGCAGCACCTCCAGAATATCTCCCACCTGATGCCAAAGCCCAGTGCAGCCTTGGGGGCAGTGGGTGGGCAGCCCTGTCCACTCCCCACGGGGTAGCAGGTCCCTCCTTGTGTGCCCCCCTCCGCGGCTGGCTGTCCCCTCGGCAGGCCCAGGGGACTGACAGTGTGCGCTGCTCTCCCCCGGCAGTCGACCTGATCACCTCCAGCCCCCAGTGCCTGCACAGCCTGGTGACCTGGGCACACGCCCACGCCGGGGGCTGCCCCTCAGCACCCAGCCTGCAGAGCGTCCTCTCCTCCGAGTACTGCGGCATCATCCGCGCCGTCTGGGGCTGCGGCCACGGCCACGACTACGTGATGGACACGGACTCGGACTGTAGCTCCCTGCTGGTCGACAACGCCTTGTCTGTCAAACGGGAGTGGAACAAGAGCACAGCCCAGTGCTTGACTGACAATGGGGCAGACAGTGCCGAGGCTGTTCCTGCTCCCAAAGCAAGGACGAGTCCCTGCCAGCAGCCTGTAAACAAAGAGACTGCGTTGGTGCTGCTGGATGTGGAGAATGAGCTGCTGCAGAACAGGGATTCATCTCACTCACAACTGGACAGTGAGACGTCCTGCCAGGAGAAAGCCCCGACGCAGCCTGTGTCCCCCCTGAGTGCTGCCCCAGGTAAGGGATTCTCCTGCAGATCTCCCTCCAGGAGAGGGCAGGGAGCTGGGAGCTGGCCCAGGAAGCAACAGTGGGGCTGGACCCCTTCCTTGGAGAGGCTGTGGCTCCTTGGGGGGAACACAGACTCCAGCTGGGAAGCACAGGGGAGAGTGGTCTCTGAGCACATGGGATGTGGACTTTGGTTTAAAGAATGAGAAATTTGTCACAGAGCACACGTTATGAGCCACCATGAGTTGGTTCTTCCTCAGCAGCTCTCGCTGGCTTGTTTCCCATGCTTTTCCTTGTAACCCACCCTGTTCTCCTTCATTCCCTAGGACAGTTGAGTGAGAAGCAGGTTCTGTCTGCAACATCGGATGAGCGGGTAAAAGACGAGTTCAGTGACCTTTCTGAGGGGTGAGAGAAGAGTGGGTTTAAAATAGCCTAAATGTCTTCTTTGCGAGTGTGAAATGACCCTTCTGGGAGAGAGCTCTGGTCTCCACGAGCCACCCAGCCCTGGTGGCCCCTTGGAACTGGCACTGGAGGCACTGGGCAGGGGCTCTGCCGTGGCCATGCCGGAGCTCAGCTCACCGCCCCTGCTGGGGGGGTGTTTGCACACACATGTGATCTCTGTGCTTGCTGGCTGTTTCCAGCAAACCTCCTGGGGTTTTTTTCTTCCTCTGCCCTGGGGAGGGACCAGTGGAGGGTGCTGCTCCAGGAGAATGCTTGGAGAAATCACTCCCTGTGCCCACAGGGAGAGTGATTAACTGGGAAGTGGGAGTGGGAGGGATGCTGGCACTTTGCAGTCTGTGTTATCAGAGATGGGGCTGAATCCTTCGCATGCAGGTGCTCAAATTGAGAGGATTGGACCTGACTGATAACAGAGTCCAGTCATTCCAAGTCTAAAGTACCAATGGCCAAGGGCAGGACAGCCATCAGCTGTCACGTTAGAAGTGCCCTGACAATTTATTGCCTGTTTCCTGCCTTTGGAATTAGTTGCTTCTTTATAGCTTAGGACTTAAAAGGGGAGAAACCCCCACCAAACCTCTGTGGCTGCTGCCTATCAGGAAATACAGAAATTCCTTAATCTGGTCCAGGCAGTAACACAACGTTCTGGCTCTGCAAATTTCCTTTTCCCTGTGTGGAAAGTGGTGGCATTGTCCCTTAACAGTGAGCAGATCTGTTCAGTGACAGCTGGGGTCTGTTCTTGGCTCCTCTCTCAGAGATCTGGTCTGAAAAGGCCCCAGGTTTGCTGCTTGCTATGTTCACTGGTGCTGTGGTTGCTTGGGGAGGTGAGAGGGGAGGAGCTTCAGCTGCCAGACCCTGCCGGGGGAGATGGATGTGCTGAGAACAGGGAACATGAATTGCTACAGCCAGAGATGCTAGAGCCCCAGCTCAGTGCTGTGTCAGTGAAGGGTGTCTTCTCCCTCTCAGGGACTTCTTGAGTGACGATGAAAATGAGAAGAGAAATGTGCAATCTTCAGATGACTCCTTCGAGCCTTACCCTGAGAAGAAGTAAGGGGGTGATGGGGTGGTGGGGAGGGCTGGGGCCCACCTCCCCTTCCCTTCACAGCTTCATGTCCCTCCCTCTACCCACCTGGAGGTGACAGTATTGCCATGTCCCCCCTGAGCTCCCTTCAGGTTGAAGCCAGAGTACAGCCCCTTTCCCCAAGCCCAGCCCTGATGACCACAGCTTTGCTTCATGTCCTTGCCCAACACGAGCACCAGGCTCGGAGTGACCCTCTGGGATGACTAGAACCAATGCTCCACATTTACCCCCTGTCCCTCTTCCTTTTTGAAGGGTTTCTAGCAAGAAAAGTGACAGCAAAGAAACAAAGAAGGCAGAAGAGCCTAAAATAAGGAAGAAGCCGGGGCCTAAGCCAGGCTGGAAAAAAAAAATCAAATGTGAAAGGTAAGAAGGAGCAGGCAGTGGGCAGGCAGTGCCTGTGCCCTGACACGCCACTGACAGCAGCCTCTGCTCTGCAGGGAGGAGCTGCCAACCATCTACAAGTGTCCTTACCAGGGCTGCACAGCTGTCTACAGAGGGGCAGATGGCATGAAGGTGAGTTTGGGGTTTGTTCCTGTCCCCAGCACCCAGCTTTGGGTGGTACAGAGCTGTTTCCATAGGGGGAGAGGATCCCTGATGGGTTTAATTCACTGCCTGGCTCTGCAGGAGGGAGCAGGTGATGGAATGAAGCAGCCTGAGGGCTTTTTCTGTGTTCCCAAAAGCAACAGGAGTTCCTTCTTTGGAATTCTGCTGTTGGTTTGGCAGCAGCTCTTGGAACAAGTTTGGCTGTGTCCTGTTAAAGCCTCTGCTGCCAGGGGTAGTTTTGGGTGGAAGTCTCGGGTTTTGTGCTGGTTTGTGCTGAGGCACAAGCCTGTTGAAATGGGGGTCTCAGTTATTACGGAATTCAGGTTTGTCACAGCCCTGATCTGCACCAGATGATTAGCACTAGGAGCTCTGTCCTTGCTTTACAGAAACACATCAAAGAGCACCACGAAGAGGTTCGGGAGAGGCCCTGTCCTCACCCTGGCTGCAACAAGGTGTTCATGATCGACCGGTACCTACAGCGCCACGTCAAGCTGATCCACACAGGTGGGTCCAGGGGGACTCTGCTCACCCCATGGGCATGACCAGCACCTAACAACTCATGGCACAGGGCTTGTAGGTGCTGTGGTGAGACTGGGGCGTAGAAGTGCCTGTGAGCCTGTAATAAGGCATCAAGTGGGAGACACGAGGCAGGGGGAGGAATTCAGTTTCCACCAGCAAGTGTGGGCAGCTGTGTGTGTGCATTCCCTGCACTAAGCAAGCAGCAGAAGGGATGATTCTGGTTTTTCCCATTGCAGAGGTACGGAATTACATCTGTGATGAGTGCGGGCAGACCTTCAAGCAACGCAAACACCTCTCAGTCCACCAGATGCGGCACTCGGGAGCAAAGCCCCTCCAGTAAGTGCACAGGTCCCATCCCTTTTCCTAGTCACAACAGATGAAGGGGTAGTGAGGTTCTGTGGAACTCACAGAGTAAGTCTGTGCCACAACTCCTGCCTGGAGCTGGGTGAATCACTTTAAATGTCCATCCACAACACATGCTCCAGCTCTGGAGTTTCTGTTCCTGGTGCCTGTTGGAGCTCAGCAGATGGATGTTCAGCTACGAGCTGCAGGCCTGAGGAGACCTGTGTTGCATGACTGGGTGGTTGTAGGAGACACTGTGAGTGAGCAGCTCTGAGGCTGTGGTTGTCTTCTCCTGGGTTTATCCACCATGACAGCATGCTGAGGCCCTGCCTTGGCCTTGCAGGTGTGAGATCTGCGGGTTCCAGTGCCGCCAGCGCGCGTCCCTCAAGTACCACATGACCAAACACAAAGCTGAGACAGAGCTGGAGTTTGCCTGTGACCAGTGTGGGAAGCGCTTCGAGAAGGCCCATAACCTTAATGTCCACATGTCCATGGTGCACCCTCTGACCCAGACTCAGGACAAAGCCAAGCCACTGGAGCCAGAGCCCATTCTCCTCCTCAGCACTTCAGGGACTTCAGAAAGCCAGGTAGTAAAGCCAGAAGTGACTGTGCAGCCGGAGCCCACCTGAAGGGGCCAGGGCTACTTTCCCAGTCCAGCCCTGTAGAAACTGTACGGCAGAGGAGATGGTTCATCTTCGTATTAGTCTCCCAAGGAACTCAGTGGAATTAGCTTCAGCTTGCTCAGAAAAGGCTTGTTCTCATGCTGTGATTCTCCGTGCTCACGTCCAATTCAGCAGTGTCGTACTAAGAGTCTGTCTAATCCCTGGAGAGGGGATGTGGGGCAGCAAGCCCCTTGTCCCCCTTCTCCCCACACACACAGTGTCTAAACAAGGTTGGCCACAACCCTTCTCTGCCTACTCGAGCTGCTGCCTGGACAGAAGTGCCCTCAGCAGCTCCAATTGTACAGAGAACAGAGGAGCAACTTCAAGCAGATGTTTTGTTTTGGAAAAAAAAAAGAAAAAAAGAAAAAAAAAAGAATTATTTCCAAAGCAAGTCTAAACTGAAATTTGTAACCAACTTTTTATTGTAACAAGAGCTTCATGGTTATGCTTGTAATAAATTATTTACAAAGTAATTTGAAAGAAATTGGCACTGGTGAGAAGGTTGCACCGTGTCTGTCCTTTCCTCCATAGTCAGGGTGTTCTGCTCAGCTGGTCAGGCTGGGTCTGCCCATCATTTGTCAGTCGAACAGGACCAGCTCTTCATCCAGCTCCATGGCCGTGGCAGGTCTTGAGAAGTGCAGGAGGGTGGCTCCCAGCTCTGGGTCAAGCTCTTCACAGGTGGCCAGTAGCTGGGGAGGGGACAAGTAGCCAGCATTAGACCCACCCATGCAGCCTCTCAGCAAGTTACAGCAACAGGAGATCACTGTGCTGCTTCCCAGCAAGGAGCAGGGAGAGGAGAGGGAAGCTGGTTCTGGAATAGCACTGAGGACATGGCTGTAGCAGTGGCTGAGCACCAGGTATCCTCCACTGCTCCCAATCCCGCAGGGAAAGTGCCATCAGTTCAGCAAAGGCAGCACCAGTGCCCACAAAAGACTGCCCAGGCAGAAGTAGCACTCCCAGCTCCTGCACTGGGAGAAGAGGACACAACTCACTGGTCGTATGTTTGCAAAGCTCTGGGCAGGGCAGCGTGGGATGGCAGCCAGCAGGAAGCGCCGGGCGCTGGAGATCAGCTGCAAGGGATCCTGGAGAACAGGGAGACCAGACACAACCTGGGTGATCAACGCCCAAGCACAACGTCAATTTCAGCTCTCAGCCCCTGCCTCCAAAAGTGAAACAGGAACCACTACACTGCACCTGAGAGCAACTCACAGGTTACACAGTCCACCTGAGAGGTGACTACAGCCACCCCAAGGTCCTGCACGGGACAGCAGTGGGGCAGCTTTGGTTTCAGGCAGCTGCACCAGCAGCTTCTCTGTGCCCCAAGGTGGAAGTGGAGGCACCTGCACAAGCTACCCCTGCCTCGTAGGAAGGTGGGAACAAGAGGGATGCTGCAAGTGGCAGAGGAAGGGATAAAGAATAGGACTCACAGGAGGGAAAAAGAGACTCAGCTTCACTCACATGCTCTGCAGGGTCTGGACTTTGCCCAGCAGGGTCAGGCTGGGGCAGGTCCTGCCCTTCCACAAAGAGCTGCAGCAGCTGGATGTACAGGTCAAGCGCCAGGTGGAGGAAGGTGGGTTCCCGGGTTAGCAGGTCATGGTGGAAGCAAGGGGTGAGGCTGGAGGAGGTCACACTCAGGTCAGCACTGCTGCCCTGGTGGCCTCAAACATGGGCAGACACAAGGCAGAGCTGCTGCTCTTGCCACTGCCCAAGTCCCACCGTGCAGGGCCAGGCACACAGGGCAGCCAGGGATGCTCCTGTGCCAAGCACAAGGCTGCAGGGAAAGGTCTAGCAAAAGACCCAGGGCTGTGATCAAACATCTCCTGCACGGTGAGGTGAGGGCTTGGCAGGACAGTCACCTCCTGCCAGCAGCTGTTGGTGCAAACCCTCAGCCCCAGCCCCTCCCAGCCGGGCAGTACCTGTAGAAGGCAAGAGGCAGGAGCCGGCTGTGCCGGGCCGAGGCCGCGCTGCGCAGGACGACGTAGTGCCCGGGGTCTGCAATGGCAGAGAGAAGCAGTCAGCATCTTCAGTGGTCCTCAAGCCCCCAGGCACACTTCTACAGCAACAGAGTGGCTGGGGTTTCCTTTCAGCCCACGATAAACATTAGTGCTTTGGGTGTGGGGACCCCTGAGAGCAGAACACTGTTCCCCTCTGAGGCTTCCTCTACCAGAAGGAACAATGGTGTCAGTTGTTCCTCAGCACTGGGGAGGCTGCACTTCAAATCGTGGGGTCAGTTCTGGGCCTCTCAAGACAAGAAGGACATGGAGGGGCTGGAGCGTGTCCAGAGAAGGGCAACTGAGCTAGGGAGGGGGCTGGAGCACAAGTCTGAGCAGGAGCAGCTGAGGGAGCTGGGGGTGTTCAGCCTGGAGAAAAGGAGGGGAGACCTTCTGGCTCCGCAGCTGCCTGACAGGAGAAGCCTCAAGTTGCCCAGGGGAGGTTTAGGTTGGATATTAGGAGAAATTTCTACCCCCAAAGTGTTGTCAGGCCCTGGCCCAGGCTGCCAAGGGCAGTGGTAGAGTCCTCATCCCTGGAGGGATTTCAAAGCCCTGCAGATGTGGTGCTGAGGGACACGGGGCAGTGGTGGTCTGGGCAGTGCTGGGGGAATGGTGGGACCAGATGATCTGAAGGTCTTTTTCTAACTAAAACAATTCCATGATTCTGTGATCATCATACTGCAGGGTGGAAGCAGCATCTCTGCAGCTTTCACTCAAGCAATGTTTTTAAGCTGCTCACAAAGACCCATCAGTTCTCTCCCACAGACACACTCACTCATCCCAGAGCTGGGGCTGCTGCCCAGCCCAAACCTCCCCTCCCCACCCTCAGGAGCAGGACACACTCACCTTTCCCTGCTGAGTGGAAGAGAAGTGGCCAGGATATGCTTCTCTCTTCCAGGCATCGCAAGATCTCCAGGGACCATTCCAGAGATGCCTGAAAATCCACTCCTTCCTGGGTGGCAGAAAGAACAGGTCTGGTTAGGCTGTGGTTGCATCAAAGCAGAAGGAACCCCCTTAAGAGACTGTCCATGAAGTGCTCTATTTGAGGACTTTGAGGGAGGTGCTTTTGCATCACTCATTTTACTTGGGACAACCTCCCAGATCTGTTTGCTCAAGATATTTCTCTCCTCACTGACTCTTCCTCCAGACTCTCCCAAAACCAGTGAGACCAAATGGTTGGTTTTAACCTGAATCTGCTCCCTGCTCCCATCTGTGGGGTGGCTACACCAACACTGCACTTCCAAGCTGAGAAGACAGTGGACAGAAATGAGCATTCCCAGGCAGGAGGATGCTTAGGGCAGACAGCTGCTGGAGGAGACTTGTCATCTTTGCCCCTTCCTTTCATAGCATTAAGTCATGTGGGAACCAATGTTCCTCTCCTGTGAAATACCATGTGCATTTCCAGCCTGGGGAGAAACATCCAACAAACGTGAAATGCTACATAAAAGCCACAAGAGGGAGAGAGAGGAGGTTCCTGCTACCTGGGTGGTGTAAAGGCTGAACAGGGAACTGAAAATAGTCATTCAGGAAGAGAAATCAAAGTAGTGAAAGGGGAGATTAGTCAGTTGAAGGAAAACACAGGTTTAATCTGATGGGAAGAGAAGGGCTTTCAGCAGGCGCTGTCTGGGCTGGGGCTGATCCCTTCCTGCTGGCAGAACAAGCCCTCACAGTACAAGCATTTTTAGACAGCAGACCAAGGGCATCAGACACACCGAGTGTCATGAGAATTCCCTCAGGGCTGGATTTACCTGTGGTGCTATTTTTGCTGAGATGAGATCCAAGAGTGAGAAGAACAGCAGCGAAACAAGAAGCTGCAAGGGAAGGAGAATGCCTGTTAGTTCTGTCCACACTGCTGGTAAATTCCACCCTCAACTCGCTGTTCTCAAAGCAAGGCTTGCTGCAGCCAGCAGGTGACAGCTCCTCCCAAACCAAGCAAGCTACCACAGATGTAAGCCTGGAGAAGAGCTGATGTTGCTCCACAACCATGTGCCCCAGCACAAGCATTGGGATACTGCCCTGATCCTTGTTGCTGTCCTGGATCCCTGCCACATCCCTTCCTGGCATCCTCCTCCTCCTGTCTCAAGGCAGGTTTTTGAGGTGAAAGCTGCTGTTACTCCCCATGTACTAAACACTCATATCAACCCAGTGACACCAGTTTCTGAGCAGCAGATCTTGGCTCTAGACCAGTATAAACAGTGGAGGAGTCAACCCCAGAGCAAAAGGAGCTGCTGCTGTAACTGCTGCTTAGAGCAATAAAACTTCAGTGACTAGTCAGGCACAGGTTCTGCTCCAACACCCCCTCCCTGGGAGTGTCTCAGCACAGGGACACTCCCCATCCTCAGCTCTGGCCCCAGCTTTTCCTTGGAAGACCAACAGACAGAACTACTGGGCCAGCTTCCTCCTCAGCAGAGCACTTTGGAGAATCCCTGTGTTACAGGGCACTGAGCACGGGAAACAAAGGAGGCATTTCCTGGAATAGACTTGAGAAAACCCTGTTCCTGGAATTCCCAGCACATCTTCCCAGAGCCCTAGAAAAGTCTGCACTCCTGTCTCACAAACTTTCCACATCTCCTTAACCACCCATCCAAGCTGCCTGAGCTAAAATCCACAAGGACTGCTCCTTGGTCAGAGGGAGAGGTGATCCTGGAATGCCATGGATTGAGCTCTCCACCTCTGCAGCCCCCTCTCTAGCTTGTTTTTACAGCAGCAGTTTCATACCCCCCTGACTTCCCAGGGGAGCCGTGATCCCAGTTAAAAGTGCAAGTTTGGAACAACTTTACCTCTAGGATAAGTTATTTAGCAAGTTAATTTACAGCTGCATTTTATCAATTAGCCACCAGCAGGATTTCACAGCAGGGTGTACCAGGGGCACAAGCTGTATCTCAGGACAACTTCTTCTCAGTTAAAAATTCCAGTTTTCAAGCACAGGGAAGAGCAGACATGTAAAACCTGTCATCTTGCCTGCTCTGTGCCAGTTCCCAGCCTCTTCAGAGCTCTGCTCCCTTGTCCACGCTGTGACTGCTGTTGAACAGCACAATGGAGGAAGGCAGCTGAAATCCAAGGAGGGCCAGAGAGGGGGAAAACTGCTCCTGAAGAAAGGAAGCTAGGAAACAAAACCAGCATCTCATGGGCTTGGAGGAAAACAGTCACATTCAAAAAAAAAATCAGAGCTGTGAATAAGGAGGAAATCAGGGGCTGGGTGATAGGTGCCAAGTTGTGATTGGGACCAAAAAAAGAAAGGATTCTTCTCTCTATTTTTATTTTCCCACTGCAGTTGGATGCTGCCTGGAGGGAGTTTCAAAAAGAAAAGACTAGAAACAGACAGCAGCATTCCCAGATCTCTGTATCAGGGCCTGGAGAGGCAGTTAACTGCACATGCTGCTATGGCTAATGTGACTATTACATTCAATAACCTGCAAGGAGATTCTCATACCACATTCCAAGCTTTTGGAGAAGAGCTGCAGGATGCTGAATGGCAGCCTGAGGCCAGGTAAAGGAAGCAGGCAGCAGAGCAGCAGCCAGTGGAGACCAGAGACTCACCAGATCCAGGGAGCAAAGGGTGCAGCAGCCTGAGGGAGTGACTCAACACTGTGCTAAGGGCTATTTCAGGGTTTGTCTCACAAGGTCTCTGCCTTCCAGTCTCCTCTGCAAAGATCCTGTTTGCTTTATGGAGAAACACTCTGACCCATATTATAAAGAAGGCCAGACTAAATAATTATCATGACCCATTTTGAGTTTAAACTCTACAAAGGAACCTGTTTCTAGCTGTCCCACAAGCCTCAGTCCACAGTAGCTTTTCCTACTGCCTGCTGACACCCTGCCTGGCTGCCAGGGCTGATCCCTCCCTCAGAGAGCAGGTTCCCTGCCTGCAGATCCATGGAGGGCTCCTCAGACACACCTGGCAGCTGAGCTCTGCCACTCCCTCAGCCTCTGCAGCTCTTCTGCCAGTGGATCCCCAAAGAGTCTCTTCCACTGGGAGCAAAGTACTGGCTCCAGACTTGGCCACCAAAGCTAGGGAGAAGGACAGAAACCAGCAGCATTAGTGGTGGAGTGTCTGCAGGCACCTTGCCCCTGGCCAGGACTCAGAGGAAGGGTTTTTCCACACACCCTCCTTAACGAAAAAGTCCAAGTTATGGAATAAACAGGGAATAAACATAAGAATTTTCACACCCTGGGAATTCAGAGAGGGTTATTTGTCACCCTGTTTATGCCACGGTGCCCTGAAACACCTCCAGCAGAACCAGCCATAATAAAGGGGCTCAAAACTCAAAGGGTTCTGCAAAAGGGATGCAGGAGCTTATGGGCATGCAAAAAAACCATGCACCACAAACCTGGACCCCCATGTCCCTGTGTGAGGAGCTCTGCACAGGAGGGGGGAAAATCTGAGCTCTATGGACTTTTGGTTGCTTGGCATGGAACAACCAGCCCCTCCTTGGTGCCTGTGAGACCAAGACCAGTCTCCCAGCTCCTCACTCAGCAGCCCCCATGCCACGTCTGCAGTGACCCCTCCTGCACTCCCAGAGCTGGGATCAGTGATTCCAAGGGTATGGAAACCCTCAGCCACTGCCCCAGGGAGCCAAGAATGACTGCCCCCCCCCTCACACGTTGCATGAAATGAAGTTTAAAAGGTGAGAGAGGAGCAGGTACCACGGCAGAGAGCAGCAGAGTGGGGCATCTGCTCCGACACGCCGTGAGAACCTCACCGACCCCTTCTGCTGGCTCCTCACAGTCCAGGCTGGCATGAAGCAGGCCCTGCAAGAGGAGAAGTTACAAGGTGACCAACGTCCCTGCTGCTTGGAGGTACTCACCAAGCCCTGTGTTACCTAACCCGAGATGACTGTAGGTGTCAGCACGGCACAGGGAGAGCAGCCTGTGCCCAACCCCTCCTGCAGCTGGGCCTGCTGTGAGCATGAGCCTCCAGCACCGCTCCCTCCCGCACTTCCCTGCATTACTGCTCCTCTTTTTTGGAATCCACACCGGTGGTTGTCAAAACAAGGGTACAAGTGGCCCATCTCCTTGCTAAGAATAGCAGGGAGTCAGGTGTTCTGGTGCAGCAGGGTGTCCCCTGGCCAGACATTACCCTGAAGAAGTGAGCGGTGATGTCGTAGGGCAGCGCGTACCCGCGGGGACACACGTGCTGCTGCGGGAAGACAAGGACAGAGAAGCAACAGTCATTCCTCCCCCTCTTGAATTATGATTTCCTTCCAACACTCTGGGTGTCTGGCACGACAGGGCCCAGCTAACACTGAGTGACTCTTCCGGGGCCCCGAGGACCAGCTCAGGAAGGAGAAACCTGGTTTCTCTCCCAAGCAAGACCCCGAGCAGGCAGAGCTCTGTGCCCTGCTCACACCCCGTGGATGGCAGGGGCTGACTGATCCACAGCCCTGGAGCAGGGCAGGTTTCTGGCTGTGCCTAGTACGTCAGTGCAGGAGGGCTGGAAGAGGCTGCCAGTCAGGATGAACAAATACAGGGGACAGCCACCCCTAGAAGGCACAGCAGGGCTCTGAGGGGCCTGCAAGTGACTGATCTGCTCCCTGGAAGCTGCAGGGGTGTTTTTGAATGTTTCTCCAGCATGCACCACATGGGAGGATGAGCAGGGTCTCTACACACAGCAAAGGAGTTTAACTCCCCAGTGGGACAGAGAAGCTGGAGAAGCTCAAGCTCAGTCCCTGGCTCCCAGGCCTCCTGGGGAACACTGCAGGTTTCTCTCCAATCCCTGTCAACAAACCAAGGGCAGGTGGCACAGGAGGACACAACGTATCCACACCAAAGAGCATCCCCAAGGCTGCTGCAGGTGCCTGTGCACCAGGGACATACCCTGCCACAAACACCACGACTGGGAAGAACTTTCCTGCTGCTCCAGAACTGGCCAAGCCACTGCCAGGCCACTCTGTCATCACCACTGGTGATTTCACCCCATGGGGCTGCCTGTGAACACCCATCTCCAGCCATGCTGGCTGGCTCCACCCTGGATTTGCCTACACTCCTTCCCAGGGGTTCTGTCTCAACAGCATAAACTGCCACCACGATTCCAAAGGAATGGACCCAAAAGCCATCCTGCAAGGGATCTCTGCAGAGCCAGGGGCTGGGAAGTCTGGAGCATAAAGAGTTGAACCTCTTGACATTCTGAGATAAGTTCCAAGTTTGGCTGCCTTAACTCCTGTCCTAAAAGTCCAGGTTCTTTTTATAGAGCATTTACCAACAAGAAGTTCTCATAGAACCATTCAGGGTAGAAAAGACTCTGGGGCAAAAAAGATCCTCATTTGGCTAAGGACACATACCAGCTCTGAGTTTACAAAATTAAAGAAGTCTTCACAGTCCAACATGGTTTTCCTTCCTTTTTGACAAGTCATGATCAGAGTGGATGCAGGCAGCCCGACCAGGATCCTTAGGCAGGGAAGAATAAAACCAGAATTTATGTGACCATCAAGAACAGACTTGAACTCCACACCTGGGGCAGGTGCCTTGGGTATTTAAGGGAGTTTGAGAGCACAGCAGACGTGAGGGATCTCACATGTGTCAACAGAAACTGCACAAGGAATTTCTCCAGCTGCCCAGAAAAGAACCTGCATGTCCCTGAGGTAAATGCAAGCACGTTCTGAGCTTCTATATAAAATGGAAGCACACACCTTGGTTACAGCTGCAGAGTTATTAACAGTGGTTAACGCCAGTGGTGGCATTGAGGGTGCTGTTCAGAGCCCATCAAGATGTGTGGGCTTTGAAGTCCAGCCTGCTGGCAGGGGCAGCTGGCAGCCCAAGATGGCACAAAGGACACAGCCACATCACACGGGTACCAGGGAGTACATCTCTCCTGCCCAAGTGTGGCAGGACACACAGCACCAGGACACTCAGCACCAGGACACTTGGTGTGGAGCCAGAGGGGAGCCCAGGGGGCTGTGCAGGTGCACACCCTAACTGCTGTGATCAGTTTGGTTGGGGTGTTCCCAGCCCCTTAGGGCTACATGTACCTTCTGTGCAGCAGCAGCTCCTGCTGCCTCCACAGCTGCTGGCCCAAAGCAGAGCCCTGTTCTCCATTCCTCAGCCTTTCCTGGAGAATCTCAAACAGGTAATGTCTCTGGGCATCCGAGCTGCCAGAAAGCAGCTTCTGCCTGCAGCCCAGCTCCAGCACCATCTCCTGAACAGAGAAACAGCATCTGTCAGTGACACACATTTGCATCCAAACCCTCAGTGTTTCTCTGAATACAAAGAGAGAGAGAGCCCAGCAGAGAGAAACCTGGGAGCACTGGTTGGCAGCCAGCTGAACATGAGCCAGCAGGGTGCCCAGGTGGCCCGAAGGACAATGGCATCCTGGCTTGTATCAGGAATAGTGTGGCCAGCAGGAGCAGGGATGTGATTCTCTCCCTATGCTCAGTACTGGGGAGGCCTCATCTCAAGCACTGTGTGCAGTTCTGGGCCCCTCACTTCAAGAAGGCTCTTGAGGTGCTGGAGCAGGTCCAGAGGAGAGCAATGAGGATAGTGAAGGGACTGGAGGGAAAGGCTGAAGGAGCTGGGGTTGTGTTTAGCCTGGAGGAGACTCAGTGGGGACCTTCACACTCTCTTCAAGTACCTGAAGGGAGGTTGTGGTCAGGTGGGGTTGGGCTCTTTTTCCAGGCAACCAGTGACAGGAAGAGAGGGCCTGGCCTGAAGCTGCTCCAGGGGAGGTTTAGGTTGGATATTAGTAAGTACTTCCTCATGGAGAGGGTGATGAAACATTGCAGTGGACTTCCCAGGGAAGTGGTGGAGGCACCATCCCTGGAGGTGTCCCAGGAAAGGCTGGAGGTGGCACTTAGTGCCATGGTCTGGGGATGTGGTGGTGTTGGTCATAGGCTGGACTTGATCTTAAAGGTCTTTTCCAGCCTTGGTGATTGTGTGAGTCTTTGAGATCAATAACAAAGATCTCTCTCTCCATCTCCAGCTGCTGCTCACAGCTGAGAACAGGACGTCAGCCTTACATGGACTGAGGCAGTGGGAAATACTTGGGCTGGTCACATTCAAGGACTGAACATCCAGACACAAAGCCTGAAGTCACCTGCAGCTTGCAGAGGATGTCAGGACTGACCGACACCTCCCAGCGGCCACGGCTGCCCAGCTCCAGCCTGAAATGAAGAGACCCAGCAGGTAACTAACCCTGTTAGCCCAGGAGGATGACACAATTCAAATGAAGTCAAATGGCTTCAGGTTAACATAAAGCCCTAACATTAATGCTCCTTAAATAAGCTGTAGGTGAGACAGCAACTCTAACCCTCCCTCCTGATTTTCCAGCTTCAGCCACTTCCTTGGGGGCATTGATGCTTGTCTGGCCAAACAAATCCCAACCCAAATTCAACTTTAAAAAGACAGACAGACAAGGGACTATCTGTGACTTCAGCCCCAGACCTCTGTCACCCAAAGCAAGATTCTTATGCAAAGCCAGGTGAGTCACACAGAGGCAGCTCCCAGCCAGCAGGGAGTCAGGAGTCGCTCCCACCCCACAAGGGTGGCCCCATGGGAAGTGGGAGCTCCCAGAGTGCAAGGCCACTGCTTCTGCAGCAATGAGCCACCATGCAGGCACCTCTGTGAGGAATCCAGAAGGGTGTTGATGAGGATGCCACAGGCCTGCTGCAGGTCCCCATCGCAGCCACCAGAAGCAGAAGGTGCAGGAAGGTACCGCTGATAGATGGCCCAGTAGTGGAAATCCTGTCTGCAATGGGGAAAAGGAGGAGATCAGGGTATTTTCATGGGGCCACCTTCAATGTGATGCAAAAGAAGTTAATGCATTGAGTGGAATGACAGAAAACAGCACCCACGTGAGTACAGGCACAGGCAGGGCCACACACCAGCTGCCTCTGCCTTCAGGAACGGGGAGGCTTATTGGGAAGGACCTGCACATGCAGGCCAGAGGTTATCTTGGGGAGCTTCCTCAAGTTAAAACACAGGCCTCCTTCTAGCACTGTCTGAGCTCTGGGCAAACTGTAGTCAACAGACATTAGTCTCCCTCAGCAGCCTGTTTATTTACTTTTGTTGTTAGGTTCCTGATCTTCAACACTTTTTCCTAGTTGGGTGGGAAAGACTCTCAAACAATTCCATTTCCAGCAGAGCCCTTCTGCACTCACCTTTCTGAGGCAGAGAGAATATCCTTTTCAGGGGACACTTCCAGCTCCAGCAGCAGCCACTCCCTTAAAGACAACTGGGAAAAGCAATGATTTAGGTAGGAGGGCAGACTAGCGAGGCAAGAAACTTGTGCAGAACAACCACCATCTTCCCAGCACAAAACCCACCTTCCCCTACACCCAGACACAGGCCCATGCAGATTAAGAGATACAAAACAGGAGACATAATCCCAAGGAAGATCCTGCACTGTTCCCTTGCAGGAAATCTAAACTAAAATCCCCCTGCACTGAAAGCATCTTGTACACACCCCCACACACCCACTCCTTTGACATTTCCAAGCACACTCATCTTCTTAAAGTCTAGAAATGAACGTATGTGATTAGAAATAAATGCTAAAGTGAACAAAGCACCCCAGTCAGACAGGCTGGTATAAGCATCAAAGGAGGGTTGGAATGCAAAGGCAATGCAGCCCTGAACATCAAGCTGGCCAAGCACATGGTATCATTCCAGTAACATGACAACCTCCTCTGCACAAAGACAAACTGGTTTTATATGAACTAGGTTAAAAAAACGTCCCATCAGACACACTGCATGGGGCAGAAAGGACCTTTTCAGGAATAGGCTGAGAAAGCCCAAAATTGGCTTCCACTGCATGGGGAAGAGAACAGCTGAGATGTTCAGCTCCTCCACAGCAAGGCAGAGCCCAACCACCTGAGGCACATGGTGCTTGAGGGGCACACACAAAGCTCCCACGTGGAAATGTTTCTGTTTGTTGGCTCCCCATCACTTCACAGCCAGCACAGGGCAGGAAAGAAGGGCTAAGGACAGGTCCTTTCTCTACAGCTCCTGACCATTTTCTGACTGGTATGTTGCAGCTCATCAAGGTTTCTGCTTTTGCAGTGAGGACACAAAAGCTTTACCCCTAGTTTCCTATCTCTGTCCTATCAGCACCAGGACACTGAGCACAGCCCCGGGACATCTGCAGATGTCAGACCAGCCTTCCAGGCACCAGGTTTTTACAGGAAGCTTTTAGTCACCAATAAAGATACTGCAAAGGGCAGAGCTGAAAAAATGAGAACGAGGATGTCAACTTAAGTCATGGAAAAGGTGTCTACCTGGAAGGCTTTTTCCTTCAGCAGCTCCTGAAAGCCTGCTTGCTGCCACAGAGAGAGGCTGGCTCTTCTGTAGTCCCGAGGGGGGCAGGACAGGGAGCTCCAGAGCAGCTCAGCTGGACCCTCCTCCCAGAGGGCTCCCCGAGCCTCCAGGCACAGCCGTGGCACCAGGTACTGCAGCTGAAACAAAGGCAGCACAGCCCTGCACATTTCCAAAAACACACACACAAAAAAACAGCCCAGTGCAAGCGCTGGAGCTGCCAAGCAACCACATACACAAGATGATCAGATGGGAGGGAACAAAGATGCATTTTTGTAGCTTTCTTTGTACAAGTCAGAGCTGCAGCAGGAAACAGAACTGGGCCTGACCTTTCTCACAGGGAGCTGCAGCACCTTGTTACCTTTTTAACCAGGCTGGGAGGCAGTAAGGCACACAGATCTTCATGGGAATAGGATGAAAACTTGCACATAAGGTAAGATGCTGCTGCAGTGCAAAACCTGAGAGAGAAACAGCAAGAATTCCATTATCTGCTTGGTTCAGTTGTACCTCTTCCCACTCATGAAAGTCAAAACAAACATCAAAAATTCTTGTCACCAACATGGCCCAAACCTGGGCTGTTGGGTCCACTTCTGTTTGTGTGCCCCTCACCCCAAGGACATTAATGGCACAAATTTCAGAACCAGAGTCTAAACTAAACCCTCTGAGAACATCCAGCCAGCCCCTTCCCAGCAGGCACCACACTCACCAGGATGCTTTTCCCCACGGGACCACCCTCAGCCTGTTTGAGCAGCACAAACACCAAGAGATGCTCTGGAAATCCCCCCAGGAGCTTTATCAGCACCACTCCTGTGGCAAACCCAAAGCCCTTGCCTGGGGAAACATGGACATGTGAGCTCACCTCAGGCAGAAGGTGAAGGACTCTGCTGTCCTGCAGGTGAGCAACAAGTTCCAGAACTCAGAAACAGAAAGGACCTTTTCAGGAACAGGCTGAGAAAGCCCAAAATTGGCTTCCACTGCAGGAATTAAAGCTCTGGATTCACCTAAGTGGATCACAAAAGCTGCTAGTCCTAAAATATGAGCATCATTCAGGGAAGGGCCCTGCAAACCAAACATAAGTAAAGGACAAAGAGAGAGACATTTCATTTGTAACAAAACAACCTTTCCCAGAAAAACAACAACAGAATTAACTGAGTAGCAGATCATTGCTTCTCCCCACTGCCTAATTAGTGAAGCAATATCAATTCAGCAGATGAATTACATGAAACACACTCTTCCTTCCTTGAAATGGTGCAGCCATCCTCGGCCAACCTGCAGGAAAGCCTCTGTGTCTGCAACCCAGTAACATGAAGCAATGAGCTGCAAATTCAGCCCTGCAGAATCTGAGACTCTCAAGGCATTTTAGCTTCTACAGAAGCTCATGGAGTCTGCCAGCCTTTTAATTTCACCCTTGCAATATCATGGGGTAAAGGAAATAAAGGCAACAGTTCTTTAGAACAAAACCACACACTGCTGCACCCCAGATTTGGGGCTCTTTTCTTTTTAAAAGGGGTGTGAGGCTGAATTAGTCAATGTGGAAGCTCAGGGATTGAGCATTCTCTACTGTCTTTCTTTTGGTTCTGTTCATCAACTTGCTTATTTTAGCTTCTGTTAAAATGTATCTCAGAATGCATTCACCTCCTACAGGAGTATTTCTGTAGGCAAACATTCAGCTCATGTTCCTGAGAGCACATCCATACTACCTGACCAAAATGAGAGTGTTTTTTGGAAGACTGAAAGCTCATGAAGTCCCTCCGTGGTGCAGTCTGGCCAGGTACATGCCCCACAGCTCAGGAAATGGAGGTAGGACAGCCTTTGGCACCCTACAACCATATCATTTGTGGTTGGAAAACTCACCTGATGATAAATAAGCTGGCAGAGCCTGCCCAGAAGGGCAGGCAGGAGATTCCTGTGTCCACACATCATCTTGACAAACAAGGAGAGACACGGTCCCTGCCTGCAGAAGGAAAGAACCACACACTCATTTTACTGCTGCTTTTCATCCCCAGTCCAGGAAGAGGCATTTAAAAGTGCTTAAAACACACTGACCCTGAGCCATGCTTCTCTGTAAATACAGGACAATTATCATTCCATTTAGACACTAAAAGGAAGTGTCATTTTTGGAGAACTTGACCAGAGGGAGCCCTACAAAGACATGAACTCCACCAGTGCTCTGCCTCAAATACTTGATAACATAGACATGTTCTGGGATGACAAACAAGGAGAGGAGGGAGCTGCCTGGGGCACAGACAGCTTTTTTTCAGACAAAAAGCACAAGGCAAGCAGAGTTAAGTGATAAATGGGATTAAAAAACAAAGCAGGAGCAAAAAGGAATTAACAGGACAAGGTTTTGTTACAAAACAAAAGGGAGTGACTCTCCTACAGGGCATTCCCACCCAGAAAAAACCCTCCTCAGACATCAGATGGGGAACTGGCTTTAGAAACAACTTCCTGGGATGCTGCTGTTTATCACAGATGCTTTTCAGCACAGGTTTTCCACACAGACTCAGCTGCTCCAGAGCAGAGAAGTGTGAGGAGGGGGAAAGCTGCACTGGCTGCACATGTGCTGGAGGGGCAGCCACCTCCTCTGCACCCTCAGCAGCCCAGATCACCACAGCTTGGCAGCACACTGGTATTTTCCAAGCCATTTTTAGGTGAAATGTTGACTGTAATGTCACCAAACCTCTACTGCATCATGAAGGAGGTGGCCATGACTTGAGTCATGCCACTGGAGGAGATGTGCTGCCTCCCCATGCTTGTACAGGCCAGAATCAAATGGAGTCACTTCCAGGGGCAAGAGGAGAAGGGAGGCAGAGAGAAGGTACATCATGCTGCTCCTCCTGTGCCTGCAGCATCAAGCTTTGTGCCCCACTCATTTCATCTTAAACATAACATCAGGGGGAAGGCTGAGGTGCCTGGATCTGCCAAAGCTCTGCACTTGCCACAGACACCCCAAAGACGTCAGTGCACTCTTCCCTGATCTCTAGTGCCAGCCAGCAAGTAATTCCTGGACAAAAAGAATTCCCTTCATTCCCCAGCCCTGGGCTGAAAACACCAGCCTGAGCACGTGGTGTTTGGGGAAAGTTTCTACACGTTGTCACAAAGCACAAAGCAGAGCCCAGTGGCACCTTTTTCTGAAGAGATCAGCAATGACAGAGGAGCAACAAGTTTTATTTACACAGATACATCAAAGCTCATCAGTTCTTGGATGGCAGAAACTCAGAATAAAGCAGCCTGCAATTGCCAGCCTGGCACTGTGGGTATGAACAACCAAAGTCCCTCCTCACCCCCAGACAAGTGTGGGAATTCTAGTGCATCAACCAGTTTGGATTTATTTCCCTTTTACTCGTATCTTACCTGTTGGGGGGGTTGAAATAGGAAGCAGCCACAAGGTGTTGGCAGAACGATGTCAGGAGAAGGTCAACAACCTGGAATGAGAGACACTGCTGATTGCTGTGTGTGGGGCTGGATATCTACATCTAGTTATGTGTCTATTGTGTTTCCCAACATTAAACCCAGGAGACAAACTGGTTAATGACACTCACTGCAGGTTGTACAGATCCACTGGCACCAAGATGGAAAGTTAAGCCTCTAACAGCCCAGGAATGATCCCAGCACAAAAGAAAACTATAGACAAGCCTGGTGAAGAAAACCTGGCTCATCACAGGCCTGCTCTGATAGAATGTATCTCTAGATCTCACCAGACACCAAACAACTTCCAGGAGGTTAAAACACACCAGCAGTCTGTGCAGGCAGGGCAAGGTAGACAAAAGGCAAATGTGTTTCCTGCTCTCCACAGACAAAGCAACCTTTCAGTGGGCTGCCCAGCTGGGTTTTTACAGACCCAGCCCCACTCCTTTCTCCCCCCGAGGCAGGGTACTCACACTCTGCTGGCAGGGCTCCAGCCTGGGGGCAGAGACATTGACTTGGATGGGAGAAGTGGCTGCAGCAGTTTGGTCCTCATGGCTGTCCCAGGCACAGACACTGCCCAGTGTGTGGGAAATCACTGCAACCTGTGCTGGCACATCTGCAGGAGGGGAGGAGGATGGGACAGAGGCATGAAAGATTTACAGCTCCACAGAGCAGGGAGAAGGAGTGAAACAGATACTTTAATTGATCACAGCCCAAGGTCTGTCACAAAGAGCCTGAAGCAGCAGGAGGTGCTGCCTGGCTCACCAGCTGCCCTGCAGAGGACACCAACGTTTCTCCCCAGGACTGTGACTACCAATATCCATCAGGAATACTTTTTCACACCAGAAAGGACATAGCCTTCAAAAGGGGGCCCAAGGCACCAGGGGAGCCCCAGGAACAGATCTGCCCATCTTGGCAAAGATCAGGGTAGTGCCAAGTGACCGTCACAAAAAACTGAAGTTCCAAACTCAGGCATGGAAAACACAGCAGATACCAATTGGTTTGGTTTGGTTGTTTGCTTGGTTTTTTTTCCCATAGCTGGAAGGATTCTACAGATCTGAAAGATGACAGGGTACCAGAGGCAAGTAACCACTGCTGCTGCTTTGGCTGGCACGAGCCAGATTTTATGCATGCAGCTTTGGTAACAGTCACTGATGGGTAGTTATGACTTGCCTCCCTGCCCACCTTCATATTTAGCTTGGTCCACAACCAGTGTCCTCAGCACAGCCAGCTCAGCCCTCAGCTGCTCAACAGGCTCTCTGGAAGGGCTGCTCTCCTCTTTGCATTCATCTAGACAAGAAAGAGACAAACACAACATCATCCCTACCCCTGTGCATGACATCAGTTCTCAGCATTAATTCAGGAGCCCCTGCACACCTTTTCCACAAAGCAGCATTTACTTCTCTATAAGCTCTGACGGATCCCCAATCTGTCACCCTGCCACATAAACAGCTTTGGTTTTACATTCAAGATGTGCTCTTTGATGAATCATTTATGAGTTTATGCCTAGTGGCAGAAAGGAATTCAGTTTGTAAAGACAAGAGGCAGAAGAGTTCTGCTTTCAGGGTTTTTCTCCTACTTGCTTTACTCTCTGCCTCTCAGAGAACATTTGCTGTCCTCAAAATTACTCTTAAAATAGAGGCACAGCATGAACACCACAGCAGCAGCAGCTTCTCCTCCAGCCCAACACCACCATCTCCAGATGCCACGTTACTCTAGTCTGGGTTTTGTTGCAAAGAAGAAATAAAGGGACATGCCCTTTACCAACAAGCTGCCACAGCACAGCTCCAAAACCACCCTGCAGCTTGTCAGGCAGGAGCAGGGCCTTGAACACAGGCCAGGAATAGCTCAGCCATGAAAATGAGAAGTAACACAGGTTTAAATTAATGCTCATTCTGAACACTCTGCAAAGCAAGGAGGTGTGAGGGGAACTGCTGAGTCACCTCTGTGTGCCAGGGCACCCACCAACAGGGCAGGCTGAGGGCTCCCTCCTGCCCCAAACCCTGCTTGTGCCAGAGCCCCAGGGATGGAGGAGGAGGCAGGGGACAGGAGGAGGATGCAGATCAGGATGCAGGGGACACGGCTCAGGTCAGGCCACTAGAGGCCACTGGCAATTCAAAGACTCCAGCAGAGCCCTGGCTGGGGATGCTGCCCATTCTGGCACAGGGGTCCTTGATCCCTGTGGTTGCAAGGACAACTCACAGGCAACCCTAGCACTGCTGTGACACCCCCAGCACTGTCGTGTCACCCCCTCCAGCCACAACAACTCCAAAATCTCCAGACTCCCCCGGTGCCCTGGGCAGAGGTTGGGTTCTGGTTCTTCTCTGCCCACTTGTCTGAGAACATCCCTGCTCTCCAGCCCAACCTTTTCATTTCCCACACCCCCGTGGTGAGGATGTTGCCCATTTTAAGATGCATCTGAAATGCCCACTTGCTGAAAGAGACAGGAGAGCTCATTAAATACTGATTACTCTGACACACCCTGCACCAGCCACAGGACCTGAACTGAGGGAGGCCTTCACTCCCAAACCCATGGACACCATGCACTGGCTCCCTTCCCAGCCCTTCCTGCCTCCCCAGCCCAGTGTCACACACCCCAGTCCCTCTGCACAGGGGATGATGGTGAGTTCTGACAGCAGAAGGGCCACACCAGGGATGAGCACAACAGGGTCACACCCCCGGCCAGAGCCTGGAAGCTGCCGATGCTGAATCATGGGGAGATGTTTGAGCTTGATTTAAGCCAGCTACCTCAACTGAAATCAGCCAGCCCAGGCATCCCTTGCAGCCTCAGCACCACACAGAGCTCCACAGGGACTGCAAACATCCCACCCTGGCAGGACAGGCAGGGAAAGCCATTATGAGAGTAACTGACACCTCCATAAGACATCAAGAACATGCACATATTTAAGCAAAGGCAGAAGACCACATCAGCTGTAACTTTCTGCAGATTTTCAACTCAGGAGGGCATCAATGGAAATACTATCTTTTCTTCAAGCTGATCCACAAGTACATGTCACATTTTTTTACCTTGCAACCTTTTCTCTTTGGCAGCACGACAGGCCTGCACGTACGTGGAGTACAAGTTTGAGGGGATTTTATCAGCTCTAGAATAATAATTAAAAAAATACATTCATTAATACCACATGACCACATTCACACTTCAATTTTATTAAATATAAGCCTAAACAACAGTTATGTGATGAAATGTAATTAGAGACTCCAGAGCACATTGAGCATCTGAAGCATTTTTAATCATCGTCTGACACGAGGGCCAGAAGTTTTATATCCAAGGCTTTCAGAGCAGTATGACACATGTAACACACACTGCACAGGAACAACACTACATTTAATATTAATGCATGCATTAATACCTGTTTCATGTATAATATGTGTTTAAGGCCACATGCTAGTTAGTTAGAGAGTAAGTTAGGTGACACACATTCCCACACCTAACACGCTGCTGTGATGGAGACCAAAGCCTGACCTGCAGCACCTGCTGGGCAGGCACTGAGCACCTAAAACAAATGACATGGGACTCCCCAGAAGCTCTTACAGCTTTAATTTAAAAAGAAACTACAATGATCCAGTCTTTTTTAGAGTCAGACTGGAACAACAGGGCAGGACCCAGTGATCTGTAGGCAGCGCTGTGAACGGTTTTTCCTCAGGACAGGTTACAGAGGAACTCCTGGATTTAAAATCAAGCTGTTTCTGCAATGCAGAAAGGCTTGAGTTCTGAGAGGGGCTGGGGCATTATCCTGCTCTCCCTGAAGAGCAGGCCGTAAAGAATTAACACACATGGAAGTTTCCCCTTCTTCATACACCCTGTCCCAAAGAGAGAGCAGCCTTTCACAGGAGGGGGCCTCATCTTCCTTATCAGGTTTTATCTCCAGCAGCATCCTCCAAAGTTTGCATGAAAACACAGCTGTTTCAGTCAGGGGGCTGCAGGGACTCCCAGAGAGTGGTTTCACAGTGGCTAGAGGCCTAATGACAGGACATTCACCCAGAGATACCAACCACCCCATCCACAACCTGCAAGCCAGGAGCCTGGCCACAAAGCCCTGCCAAGGGTTAGCCAGTGCTGGGTGCTCTGCAAGCAAGGAGTCAAAGGGAAGTCAGAGGCTCTGAAGAGAAAGTCCAGGAGCACAGAAAATAACACTGGGAAGTCTCAATACCTCTTCAAGGAATCTATGAAGGCCACGCGCACGTCGGGGGCTCTGGGGAGCTGCAACACAAGAACAGGCAGGTGAGGAGCAAATCACAAACACACCTCGGTGGGAGGATCAAAACAAAGGCAAAAGCAAATACTAACCACCCGTGGCCTCAGCAAAGCAGGAAGAAACCAGGAAGTGTAGTATGGTCGCCTGAAAATGCTGAGACAGAACAGAAACACAGCAAAACATGAACAATGCCCATCTCATCACCTCCCCGAGGAACTTGGCTCCTGCGAGGCAGAAATACTCATGGAAACATGAATAGCCACAGAGAAATCCAGCTCAGATGAGCAGAGAGGTATTCATGTGTTTAATTTTGCTTCTTATTTCTGACTCCAGCTGTGGCCTTCCCTCTCAGGTGTGCAGTGCCCCAGCCTGCACAGACAGCCCCTCACCGAGGGCGGCTGCGGGAGTGGAGAACACGGGAAGCATTTCCCAAACCCACCTCTCTCACATCCTCAGGTTTTCTAGTCTGGTTATTTTGATTTGGACTTGCCTCATGTTATTATTCTAGCTAGAAGCAAGAAGGGCTGAGAAGCAAGCACATGGTACCTGGCTTCTATCACAGACGTTGGGATCTTCCTCGTGCTTTCAAATATCTGAAGGGCTTTCTCGACGTCGCGAAGCGCCTGGGCCTGGGGCTGCCTCACCCCAGGGACAGGGAGAGAAACATGTGGTGAGAAATGAAGGGCCATGGGAACCTTGTTTGTTCAGGGCTCGTGACAGCTGGCTGTGCTGGGAAGGGACTGAACGAGGCAACTGAGTTACAAGAACTACCTGATCTGCAGAGTAAGACTGCAGGAAGGAGGAAGCGGTGGCTCTGAGCCCAGCTCCTGCAGCTCCTGCAGCTCCTGCAGCCTGTGCTCCTGCCTGACATCCCACTGGTTAATCGAGGATCTTTTCTGTTCTGACTTTGCTTTATTGTTACTCTGCTTCACTTCATACACTTGGAATTAAGACCCATCATCTTCACCTCCAGCCCATGCTGCTATGCCCCAGGCACAGGGTCTGCCCACCGGGCTTCTCTGCCTCGAGCCATGGGACATCCTAAGGCTGCAGCAGCCCCAGCTGGTTCCTCAGCTGACAAACAGATCAGACTTGGAAGAAATTAAACGTTCAGTCTCTACTTTCAGTTCCTGACAGGACTAGATTCCATTGCAGGGCATCCAGCTACCCTGCCACCAGCCTGTATTCCATGTCCTCCAGGAGGCTCCCCAGACTGTCACACTCCTGATCAATACACAGGGAGCAGCAACAGAGCCAAGGGCTTCAAATCAATTACTTTTGTGACCCAAAACTTATCATGAACCAAGGTGTGAAACAGCAGATCCCACCCCAAATCTCCTGCCCAACAGATGACATGTTATACTGAAAAGAATCAAGATACATATGAAATGCTTCCTACATGATCAAATTGTTGGGAGCTAACCCACCTCTGAAACCTGCTGGTCAGGTGGCAGAGTTAACCCAGGCCCAGGTCCTGCAAACCTCTGCTCTGCATCCCCACACCATCAAACATCTCCCTTTGCCTCGTAAATCCTCCCCATGGAATCTTCCATTTCCTTTCCACACCCCCCAGTACAGGATGGGCAAGACACATCTGGGCCTTCCTGCTCCAGAGAGCAGCTGCTGACTGGGTGGCTACTGTAGGAGCTGCCTGGCCAGTAGCTGGCTGGCTAATTACTGAGTTATGATGTAATTATAACTATAACAAATAACATTTGATTGTTGCAGCCTCATCTTGGAATGCTCATGGCCATTTGTTTGGCCTCTGTGTAAACCTGGTTCTCACACAACTTGGGGAAGAGTCTGTGTGTTCATGGCTGCTAAAGCCTCTGTGGTAAAGCTGGGGAAGACTTGGCAGCATGCTCAGACTTGGTAGGAATGGCAGAGAGCTGGATAAACTGAGCTGTTTTCCCAAGGAAAAGGGGCACGACTGATGAAAAAGCTGTTAGAGCAGCAGCAGCACCTGCACAGACTCATCTGTGGTGGACAAGTCTTCATAGAGCCCCATATCCTCTATAGCAACCTGTGTGAGGAGAGGGAGATGCACAGGGTCAGCACAGCCAGAGCTTTGACAGACCCAGAAAGAGCTCTTTGCAAAGGGACAATTTTTACTAACCTTGAGGTCAGCCAGTCTGGTTTTAGCCAGGGTGATGTACTCCAGGAGAATGGGCCGGTGTTTTGTGGGCACAAAAGGCGGGTACATGATATGGACCTGAAATGTGAAATTCACAAGATTTGCCATTTTCATGGGAAGTTAGTGTGAACATCTGGTCAATGTTTACCTCAGATAATCCCCAGAGAAGATATCAATGCTTGTTTTGAGAAAAGCCTTTTTCATGGCAACTGACATGCAACTTGTCCCCAGCAACAACAAACAAAACACTGAAGTTCTTAAAAGCTCCATGAAAGAAATTCTCCTTGTCAAGCAAATAAAATAATCTGGTGCTTCCTTATTTCAGGAAGAGGTTTGGAATAATGTCTCAGAAGTAATGCAGTTACTGTATTGTTAATGTAACAACATTACTGACATGCTGAGCCCAGTCAGACACATAAAGCAATACCTGTAATAACAATAATCACAAGCTGTACCTAATCACAGGCACGAGTGTGCTCACTGTGCAGCAGTTCTGAGGCAGCCTCCAGAAAACCACCTCTGTCAGCAGCTTCTCACCTTCAAGTAGGGTGCTGCTTCAAAGGGCACCAGCTCTGACAAGAACTCGAAGAGGAAGACCAGAGCTTTCTTACTGCTCCCGTGGTGGCCTCCAGCATTCCCAAAGGAAGCCTGAAAGGGGGGGAAATGGCAACACAGCTGCTCAGTGTGGAGAAAATCCCTAGCCCAGCACTGCCAGAATTTGACAAACCCCTGACACCCATTACAGAGATCTGCTTTCTGTCAAGAGAAAAATCTCCAGAGAAAGTTGACAGAAATCTCCACAGAAGTTTCCCTTGAATTTCTTTGTCCAGTGCCATGTCACACCCAAAGTTCCTTCTGATGTGCTACCATGATAACACTTGGAGGAGTTAAGGCAACACCAAAATGCACCAAAGGATCAAGAATCATCAAGACCCACAGATCTGCAGGTTTCTGCACTGCTTTATCTGGGCATGAAAAGGAAAATGCACCAGTCTGAGGCTACAGAGAACATAAGCAGTTTATCCTTTGATACATCCTGAGCATTATCAACAAAGGCTGAGCTTAGGTTTGCAAACTCACACAAAAGAATTTCAGAGTTTAAATTATGTGCAGATTTGCATACCTAAAATACCCACATGTTTACAACTAAAAGCTAACGACCAATTATCCATAAGGTCAAACACAGCAATTACAGCTGCATGCAAACATCCAGGAAATGAGGATGCTTCATCTGCAACAACCCACAGCCTGGGCAGTGGCAACAGTGCTGGTTATCAAGGTACTGAAATACAGCCAAGATGATGATTGTAACAGGAATGACATGTCTGCATTCCTGACAAATAACTAGAGGAGGCAAGATGGACTTAAAAGATGAAAGAAGGGAAGACTGGAGAAATTCAAATAAATATATTCTTTGCAGACACAAAGGCAGTAATAAATATTAAATCATTCCTCAAACCAATGCAGGCACTTGTTACTCTTTCTATTTATTTTTTTCCCCCTAATTCCTGGCTATCCTGCCTGAAACCAGGCTTCTGCTGTGCAGAACATTCCTCCTGCACAGGTTTCTCCCACACTCACAACAAAGACTGGAAGTAGGGCCATGTAGCCTCACCTTAAACCACTCAGAGTAAGGCATGAAGACAGCAGGGCCCTCCAGAGCAGCCTGGCGTGCGATCAGGAAGGCAGTGATCAGATTCTCCATGTCATAGTTCTCAAAGGCCTTTGTCAGGAGATGGCTCAGGAGATCTAGAAACAAAGCCAGAACCTCAGACTTGGCTCTCGACAAGCGTGCAGGAGTTTTCCACAGTAAATGAAGACCAACATCAGTGACAAACCAGCTGGCACGGGCAGGGTGGGTGTTGCAGTTGGGGAACCCCCGGGACGCGCTTGTACTTCTTCATGCAATTGGAGCAGCCAAATACTCTGGGGTTTCAGGGACTGCATGGAGTCCAGCAAGGGGATAATCAGAAAGAAACTCTAATGAAGGTGAAATAGAAGAACTAAGGTTCTGTGATCAGTGTTCCAATTAATAATGGAGTTAATTGTCCAACAACCATTCTTAGCTGTACACAAAACCTGGGAACCCCCAGGCACGAGGCGCTCGCGTCATCGCCAACATCACTGAATGGAAAAGCAGGTATTTTTGCTGTTCTTTTCCACGCAGGAACCTCAAAACAGCAACTAAGAATGACTATGCTGCTGCACCAGGCAGCACAGCTCCCCTGGCAGCAAGAGGAACACGGGAGCTTGGGGGCTGCCCTGTCCCCACCTACCCCTGAAGAGCTGCTCGGCCTCAGCCCGACACACGGCCAGCGCGGAGACACAGGACAGGACGTGCTGCCAGTTCACCTCCCGGGTCTCCAGGACCTGCTGCAGCAGGCAGACACACTCCTTTGTACTGAAGGCCACAAAGAGCTGAAAGAAGGACACCAATTCGTTTGTGCGCTCTGACATTCACCCCCAAGAGTGAAATACACTGTCAGGATTCACAGTCTTCTGAAAAAACTACCCTGCCTGCACCTTGTGCAGCAGCTCTCCAGGGCCAGATGCATTAGCTAAACTAAACATCAATATTCCAGTTCTTTCCAAAGTCATGTCATACCCTGTAAGAGTAAGAACTCACATCTTCAATTATTATCTTTGTTCTCATTAAGGGCTTTGCACAAAAGTCCCTTTTTCTTCCCAAGTACCACTTGCACAAAAGCTGTACTTTTCCTTCATGCATCAGGCTGCCTATGACTCCTGGCAGCTGGTCAGATTTTGTGACTGGAACCCACTATTTTTAAATAATCCCATCCCAGATATTTCAATGCACAAGGCAGCAGAGCTCTCTGGCAAACCAGAGGGACGTACTTTCCGATACAAGGTGGTGAGCAGTGAACAGGTCCTGGTGAAGCTCCACTCCTTCTGCATGCAGATGGCATCAGACACTGCACCCAGAAAAAGAAAACCAGAAAAACTCTGCAGCAATAGATTTTAAGACACCCAAAATCCATAACTCAACCACATGAGATTTCCTTTTGGCTTTGATGTAAAAAACTCTCTGTGGAAATCTTCTCTCTCTCCTTTGCCTTTAGAACACAAGCTGTGGGAACCAGGACTGGGCAGTTTCACTGTCACCTCAAAGCTGTTCTTAGGTCACAGCATCATAGGCCAACACAACACAGGCACAGAGGACCAGCATCTTCTCTTTTTCCCCAACAAAGCCTTCCAGCTGGAAGCCAGGAGGGACACAGCTCTCCCACAAAACAGCCCAGCAGCTCTAGACCACACAGAGGGATTTTACCTGCGATGTTGTGGCCCAAACGTATTTCTTCCTAAAACCATCAGGCCTCACAATTAACAGTCACAGATTAGATGCCTTCCTGCCTTTATCTCTGCCAGAAGAGCCACCCAGTCAGCAGAGAAAGGCCACATCTTCTGCTTGAACCCAAACACACCCCGGGCCAGACAGTTATCCCCCTCTCTGCAGCACCACTGCTCCCACCCAGCTTCTCTGGCCAGAACTACCCCCAGAGGCCAGAGCTCTCCCAGGTCTGCTCCACAAAGGCTGCTGCTAGATATGACCCCAAATTCTGTTCAGGAGCCACTGATTTTCTACCCAAAGTGTCCTCCTGACCTACAGCCTCTAAAGCCAAGATGAATTGTTTTGTGTGGGACCTGGCACCCTGCTGATACAGCCCTGGGGAAAGAGCCGGGGGCCTGGGCAGCTTCCCTGGCTCCAGGTGCTCCAGGCTGGACTCAGGGAGGACTGGGCAGGATGGAGCTCCAGACACACCATGAAAACACACCCTGGAGACACCTGCTCCTCCCTGCCCCTTCCTACCTTTCCACGAGGGGTTGTAGGTGAGAACCTCAGTCAGGGTGTGTCGGAAAAACTGCTGCAAGGAATCCGGATGAACTGCCCCTCTGTACCCTGACACATTGAACACGTTGAGCCTGCAAACCACAAGGAGATATTCAGAAACAATGCACAGGAAGCATGATCAGCCAGGTATGATCAGGGTGAGCAACCCACTCTTCCTTCTACACCTCTTTTATCAAATTGCCAGATACCTACTTTTTTTGTATGTATTTGTACAAATCAATTGGTTACTCAGAGTTACGTAGGGATCAGGTTTACAAACTGGAGCCAAATGCAGAGCCCTGCACAGGGCAGGACTGGCTTGGCATGTACACAGTTGTTGGACAAAACTACTTTGGAAGCAGGTGTTGGAGGAGGAGATGGCAGCACCTTCCAGCTCTTTCTGCTCAGTGAGAAAACTTGTGGGGAGAAAACTTGCTACAGTCCAAGAGGGATCCCCAAGGTTACTTCCAACACTGCCAGAAGACCCTTCCCCACATGATGTTTATCTTTTCACTGCATCTTTACTTGCATGTATTTTAGAGAGGACAATACTATACATAAGCAGGTGGGGAACATTCAGCCTGTTTCAGTTCCAAGTGTAAGAGTGGATGAAAACCTCCTCCTGACAGCACGCAGGAGATGAGTGTTTCTTACCAGAACCTCATCGCTTGCAAGGTGGAAACATCTTCCTGCTTCTCTTTACCAACAGCATCAAGCACCCCTGTACCCCAAAGCAGAGACACAAAAACATAGTGAAAGGGAAATGGGAGGAACTGTGACAATAAACAGCACAGGAAATGGAACAAGGAATCTGTGCACCTTTAAGAAGGTGACCCCATTAGGGAAATGTGCAGAAATCATCCAATTGAACAGCATTCAATTCTTACAAATATTTTCAAAAATGACACAGGGGCTCAAAAACTCTTCATGCTAACCTTGAATTTAAATAACCTTGAATTTAAAAATATTCCCAAAAATGTGCTAATAATTCAGCCATGTAGAGATGCACATAAATTAGTAGTTAAGTGTCCAAAGCCAATCCCAACCATGCTGTGTATCAACCAGTGTGAGCCCTGCAAAGCTGAAGGACAGAGAAGCCTGTCTGGAGGCAGGGATTTGCACCAGCAGGCTTTGAATTAACAACCCCTGGAAACAATGGCCTCAACCTCCCTGGCCAAACAAAGAGCAGGCTGCTGGGAGGGCCACTCAGTGCAGAAGCAGTGAGGCTTCAGGTTACGTTGGCTCAGCAGAAATTCCTTCAAAAAGCTAAATCTGTCCCAAAATGCCTGGTAGAGGGCAAACAGGTTGCACAGCACATTGCCTTGTCCATCAGCCTACACCCCTCAAAGCCCACATCGAGGACCTTTTGCTTTACTGGCTGCTGCAGCAGTGGGTTTTCTGCTTCTTGTGCCATCCTACCTTTAAAAGCCAATTTTAACAGTTAAACACTGAGCTGGGGCAGCAAAACTAGGGTTTCCTCACGTGCCTTCTGTCCCTCACATGCCTCCCAGGCAGCCAGCCCCAGTGCTCACAGGTAATGCTCTCCTCCCAGATGAGGAATACTTTAAGGTTAAGCAGGGGAGAAGAGAGAAAAGGAGATAAACTGCTTATCCTCGGGCACAGGAGTTCAGTACAGCAAGCTCAGGAGCAGGAAGCACGGAGCTCCCACGCTACCCCAGCCTGTCCTTCTCCTCCTGGGAAGGGCTGCACCAGCACTGAATTATTTTACATGAAGAAGCCCAATGTTCTCCAAAGCAGCCGATTAGCAAAGTGAAACCCCTCCAAGGTGACCCAAAAGTGTGGACTGACAAAAATAGCTTCTATAATTCTTGCTGAATGGCTTTTCAGGCAGAGCCTTCAGGTCAGCAGCAGCAGCACAGGCTGCACAAACAGGAAGGTCAAGCAAAGAGCTGCTCAGCACAGACTCCTGCCAGCAACCTGCTCCTCCTCCTCCAAATCGACCCAGGCCCATGTTCATAAGGGTTATTTTTCAAGTCCTGACACTGTTAAAGAACCGCCTGAGATGGGACTCACACACATGGAATAACAAAGCACTTTTGCAGCTTTCCCTTTCTAGGAGCAGCCCAGAAGGTCTGAAGGCACCTCTGTGTACAGACCATGCTCCCTGTGAGCCCTTGGCTGGGGGCTCCAGCTGGAGGGAGGCAGGGAGGGATCCTGGGGGTCTGTCCTGCTGTTCAAGCAGAGAAGCACCAAGCTCTGCTGCAGCACCTGAGCAGGATGCTGACACATGCAGCAAGGGAGGGGGCGAAGTGCTTGAAGTGCTGTCCCTGCAGAGACAGGCAGAGAAACAGCAGCTCTGCAGTCATATTTTGCAAGATATGGGTGTGGGGCACATGAGGGGCTGGGAGGGAGCCCGAGAGGAAGTAAATGCTTCCTCCACTGCACAGCAGACACAGCAACTTACTGTGAAGGTCACCTGTGAGAGGAGCCAGAAATAACCCTCCTGCAGGGTTAGTTTTCCTGCATCAGGATTTGCGATGCCAGGCAGGTGCGGCCACGCTCCAGCTCCCACAGCAGGGCTGCCCAGGACAGAACAGGCTCAGTGTCCCTGGGGCAGTTCTTGAAGACTGGCATTTAGAGGTGACAGATGTGCATTGGAAGGCTTTGCTCAGCATAACGTTGTGGGGTTTTTTTTTTAAAAAAAGATTTCACAAAACATCACCCTGCAAATGCACAGCACGAGCCAACAGCACAGCTTCCCTGCACATCAATTTGTAAATTCAAAGTTGCATTTGCTAAGCAGGAAGAATTCTCCTAGCTTAACCTCTGTGCTACAACAGATTGGATTGCTTCCAGTCAGGCTTCCTAAAAACCAGCTCAGGTGTCAGCCTGATGCAGCTGCTGGGAGCACCAGAACAAACTAGCACGCAAGGCAAGAAAGGATCTGCAGCGTTGGAAGACACTCGCTTTGCAAGGGGAAAGCAGAGACACACAGAGTCAGTGACATAAATATTATGCAGAACAGAGGAAAAGCATCCCAGGCAAAGGATTTCTCCCTGGGGATTTAGCAGTGTCCTTGGAGATTTAGTGATGAACAAGGAGCCTGTCTAGCAAACAGGCTGCACCAAAGCTCCCAATACTTACATGTCAGCATCCTCTGTAAGACAGCATGGCAGATCTGTTCAAAATTGACAAATTAAGCCCATTTAGAGTTTAAAAGAGCTACAGTTACATGCAGAAAAAGTAAACTGACTGGGAAGAAGCGTTTTGTCTCCCTTCATTTAAATCTTAACTCTTACCTCAGGCTTAATGGTGGAACAGATAAAACAGACAGAAGAGCAAACACTTCCCATGCTTACCAGGATTCCATTCAAATGGGAAAAAAAAAGCAACCAAGGTGAAACCAAAGAAGCTTAAAATACCTTAACATCTCACCATGGAGAAATGCTCCATACAAAAGTGTTTGCTCTGGTTTCACCATCTCCCCCTCACCCACTCCAGCACCTGGACCACCCCACTTTTTCCTGCTCTAAGCTTATTTATTTATACTCAGCAAGGGGATATAATGGAACTACTTTTTTTAAACAACCATTTGTAAACAGCTCTGCTTTGTCCTTACATGGGGAACCTTCTTGAATTCCAGCTTCCTTCCCAGCTCTGAGGTCTGCTGGAAGCCATTCTGAACAAACACGACCGCCAAGTCTGCAAACCAAGAAGGAATCCAGAGTTTTGGCATCTCCTTTCAGCAGGGATCACTGGCTCTTTCCTCCCCATCTCCCTCTCCCAAAAGGACCAAGTGTCTGAAAAGCCTCATTCACTGCACAGCCTTTTGCTTTTCCTGGAGTCAAATTACTTCCAGGCAAAAGGACCTAGAACAATGGATGGCAAGGACCACAGAAACATATTAATATATTGTTATTACTATACATGTTATATTTAATATTATACTTGTTATGTGATTATAAAGACCAAAGTACTGACAGGTCTTATGCTCTGTTACCACTGCAGAGTTCCTGTGGGCTGGACCTGACCAGCTGCACAGCTCCAAAGGTCTCAGTGCAGCTCTCCAGGCAAACTGCAGCACCTGCCTCTGAACCAAACCACAGAGTAAGTAACAGAAAATGAGAGGGGGGAGAAAAGGAACTGTTTAGTGTTTCTAGGTCCAAAATATCTCAGACACTCTGAGGGAAAGGTCAGGTCCTCTCTAGCTCATCCCCACAGACCCTGCAGTGACACTTTCTCGTGATGCTGTGGCTCAAAGGGACAGAGAAGCGTTACCTTCTCGGGGGGGGGGCAAAGCTTGCCTGAAACATAAAAACAAATGCCCCTGACTGAAACGAGGCAAGAAAAAGCAAAGCCAGACCTGCCCCCTTACACCTCCAAGGCTTGGGCAGCAGCAGCCCAGCCCTGTGCCTTGCCTGAGAGCAGGTGCCCGGGCAGCTCCAGGTCCTCCGGGTGGGGCTGGCAGAGGCGTTGCAGGCTGTGGCACAGCCACTCCCCCCCTGCCGACGGGCTGCTGGGAACAAACAAAACCACAACTCTGTCCCTCCTGCTCGGGGTTTTGCTCCACCACCCCCTCTGACAGTCTCTGGGGGGCTCTGCCCTTCCCGTGCCATGTTTCTTCCATCAAGAGCTTCACTTGCTTGGCAAAAAGGTTCCACAACCAACAGATCCACAGGAAAAAGACGTGTGAAAATTGTGCATTCAAGTATTTCCTCATCTCTGACATCTAAGTGCTTCTATTCAGAAAGTTCTGCTAGAAGAAAGACTTCAGTTCTAATTTCTAAGATAGATAAACATGCTTTAAAAATATTCAGCCCTTAATCTCTCCCTTTGGTTTGCTTAACTGCAAAGCAGTGCAGCACTGAAGGCTTTCTTCTTGCCCCATTAATGCACAAGTAAACCACTATCCAAGGCCTAAAAGGTCATTGTAACATTATCCTTTGACACCATAAGGACATAAGCTGAGCTTCACCAAGGAGAGCTGTGTAGTTTTTGGGGCAGGATTGGACGGGCACTGAGCCCCTTCCCACAGCAGGTCCCTGCTGCCCACACAGCCCCTGCTCCCCTGAAGCCAAGCAGGAGGGAGAGCAGCTCCCAGGATGGGCTGTGGTGCTGGTTCTCACCCAACCTTCTATCTATCTTCTCAGCAGCCACCACACCTCCAACAGCTCCAGCTAACCCAGGGTAACCTCTCTGAGCCAGGACAACTACTGACATCTGGCTAATCTGATCACTTGCCAGCACCTGACTCTGTGCTTAGTCCAGAATACTCAGGACTAATCCCTGATTACACTTCGATAGGCTTTGGGAGATTAGCTACATCTGCAGCCCTGCAAACCTCTGCTCACCTCTCCAGCAGCTCTGCCAGCCCCAGGATGTCTCCTCTGTGCAGGTGCCACGCGACTTCCAGCACCGGAGGGTCCTGGGGAGATGCCACAGTCAGAGCACAGCCCGTGTTTGGCAGCTCACAGTCACATTTGGCTAATGTAAACTAGTCAGAAACTAAAAACAAACCTAAAGTGGGTTTATTCAAACTATCCAGAACTTACTCAAATTTTAAAATGGTAGCACAGGGAATACCAGGTGAGGAAAGATTGTGTTTGATTTTTTTTCTCCTCCTACAAATTTTGAATGGTTTAGGGTTGTAGATGCATCCTCATTTTAAGATGTCATGGTTGAGTAATAAATACACCATCTTTGTCTCCATCTTTGTCTCCCTGGAATAATTCTGGTGCTGCATGTTCAAGGGAGCAGTGGATATCCCAGAAAACAGGTAAGACCACCAAGTTTCAAGTCTTGTTAATTCCAATCCAGAAACAGACGAGAGAATTAGCCTGTGACTGCTTATTGGTCTCTGTGAAGAGTTTGCTGCTCTCCCATCCTTTTCCCAAGAGGAGATGACAGAAAGAGACCCTGCAACCGTGGGGCAGAGAGGCTGATGGACACAGAGGGAAAACCAACACCTCTTGGTGCTCCTGCTCCGAAACACCAGGCAGGGCTTTGCTTCCAGCAGCAGCTCCTGCTCATCCCAGCTTCACCACAGAAACACTTGGAGCTGCAAACCAAAGTCTCCACAGCTTGTGAAGGAAGAGGTGCCCAGGAGCACATGAGCTGCTCAGGAGAAAAGCCCCATGAGCTCCTGCAGCCACCAGCTGCTGCTGCCCAGCCTGCCCCTGGGCGAGCCCACAAGCCTTTTCCACAGCTTAAATCTGTACTGGAACAATCTCAGTTACACCACAGCACTTGATCTCCATGTCTACCCAAGAACAAGGAGATTTTAATCAGCCTACAGAACACACAGGATTCACTTTTCAGCCCAGGACTGGATATTTGAGACCACAGTGTGCCTTTTTATCCTGACAGATCAGCCTCTTCCTTCTTTCCCACCAGAGCAGTGAGCAACCAAACCTGTCCTGCTCACAAAACCTCCTGAACTCCACTCACAGCACCACTAACCTTAACAAACCACCCTGATGAACAAGGACAAGACATCTGTGAAGCCACACGACCTGTGACCTGCTATCACGTTTCTCCCAACCCATTTTCTGCAGGAGCTCACTCAGCCTTATCACCATGCCCAGATAAACAGAGCAGAGAACCAGAATGCCCAAGCTGAGATGAATATTGCTGGAGAAGCACACAAAGGACTCCTGGGCCTGTGCCACCCCAGAGCCAGCTGGGAGCTCCAGCACTGCCTGGACCATTGACCTGGATTGCTCAGTCCAGAGAGCAAACCCAGGCACCCAGTGAGTTATCAGGGTGTTCCCTTGCTAACAGTGAGGCAGGGGAGCTAAACAGGAAGAAAATGATACGCCCAAAGTTTCTATTAACTGTGATGTCACCCCAGGTGTGTTAAATCCCATTACCATCCCATAACTCCAGGCACTACATTGCCATGCCCTTCCCTGCTCAGTACAAGTGGAAAGAGTTGGGAATCTCCTTTGGAGAGCAAGAGCTTCTCAAAACCAACACCTGATCACTAAGGTGCTGCCAGCCCTCCTTTGGGGTAGTTTCTCAGAAGTGGCCACACCACTTTAATAACTCACCTCCTTCCAAACCTCTGCTAAGTCCTCTTCAACAAACCAAATCTCACTGCAGAGGCAAGGAAGCTCCCAGTGAACTCACTTTAACAAAACAAGAAAACCCAACCATTCATCATTCAGTTCATGCTTTTGAGAGGTTAGAAAGACCAGAGTCAGTCCCAGGAGGAGCTGACAACTGCTGTCAACCAGAGCAGGGATGAGCAGTGCCAAGACTGCTCTGCATCACCCAAAAATCCAGTGAGGAGAAATCTCAGCACTTGGGGCATCCACTGAACTGTTATCCTTGATCTTCATGGAGAGGAGGGCTGAAAACACAGCAAGCCTAGATGGTCTGTAACACAGCAGCATTTCTCCACGAGTCCTTACCTTCATTTTCCACAGCTCTTGACAGAAGAGTGAGCGACTGAACACGTTGTTTGCCAGCAAATCCTTCAGTGTTTGGAGCAAGCGAGACAAGCTCTTCTGGAATCACCCCAAAAGGAAGCAGAAATTATTTCTTGTGTAATTTACCCATTCTTAGAAAAACAAATTGTTGCTTTTCCCTGTTTACTGCTTTTTTAAGGCTTGGATGGTGGAGAGAATTCCTGGGAAAGGCCCAACCCTTTCATCTTAAGGCTCAGCTAAAGGCAGCTGAGCTGAGCAGGGACACCCAGCGCTCCTGCTGCTTCACCACCCACCCAGGTGATTGATAAAGAGGGAACCATAGATTAGAGACTGAAGTAGAGCACAGGTGGTGCTTAGAGAGCCCTGTGTGAGGCTGCACCTCAGCAACAGACAAAAAAACCTCCTTTCCAAGCTGTCAAAACCAGCCCCTTCCCTGGTGGGGGAGAGGAACTTGGGGAACTGATCCACTTGTGCGAGTGGATGGGACACAGAAAGGAATAATCGGCCCTTTAGGTCCTCACAAGTTTGGGCATCTTGATCAGAGGAGCTAAACCAGATTTAAAGTCAAACCTAACAACACCATTTTCTTGGTGAGGGGGATGGAAACCTTTTCCCTCACCCTCTGGTCCAGGCCCAGCAGTGGGAGCTGGGAGGGGCTGGTGTGAGCCCGGCAGATCCGCTCGATGCTGGTGACAGCGTTTTTGGCTGCCAGGGCTGCTGTGGGCACCCCCAGCCTGGAGGCCTGTTCCTGCAGGACAGAGACTGAGAAAAAACAAGAAAACAAACAAGCAGAAAGCTGTCAGCATGGGAGAAAAAAGGGGTTTGAAAAGGTCATTATGGAGACAGAAGTCCCAGGTCCTGAAGTCCACCAGCACAGATGTCATTTGCTGCAAATTGTTTTTATTTCCATGTATCATTCCTTACTGTCCATAAAACAGGGCCAGAGCAACCAGGGGCAGGGGTAGAATGTCCTTGCTAAGCAGGGGTTTGTGCTTTTGTCTTGTGGGGCTCAGGGTAACACTTTCAGATAATCAAAATATGAAATGATCAGACCTTGCCAGTGGTGTCATCACCAGACAGGTAAGAAAGGAGCAGCCAAAGGGGAGACCAGAACCAATGAAAAGAAAGTAAAACTGGGATTGCATTTAACAGGCAGGAATTCAGCCCATAAAGAAAAGTTCTTTCCCACATGTCTCCAACAGATACCCTGTCACTCACCTATAAATGATTCTGAGGATACTTCCTGGAGTTCTGCACCACCCTGTCCATCTGGCTTGGCTGATTCTTCCACCTGGAAGCCAAACAAAACCATTCTAGTCTAGTTGTCTGTTACACACATTTACAAACTTATTCCCCCTAAAGCAAACTGAGCAGCCCCACCATTCTTGGGGACTGGAGCTACTGGAGTGAAACTATCACCAAGATCCCACCTAGTTGTGGTAAACCAGGGATTTCAGGGCACTTAACAAGTGACATAAGGACAGTTATTTTTATTTTATGCAGAAAAAGGAAGATACAGGTCAGAGCTACTGACTAACAGATCAGCAGCAGCACTAGCACCAGAATTTCTGTCTTTCAAGCCCCTTTGTGAAGCCACACAGACTTAAATATTTGATGAAACATGTCAACGTGTTGGATCCTTTTCAAATTAAAACCCCTTTTGTTTTATTTTTACAAGGACAAATATTCTGTACAGAAAGAAACACCCTTGTGGCTGAACTGTGGGAAGGACTAGACTTGCCTATTCACATCAGAAGCTGTATGTGAGGAGAGGGAAGAATGTGGCTCAAGCACCTATGTAGGCAAATGACAGGTTTTCCTAAAGGCAGCTACATTAGTCAGAAACTGTTGGAAATTCAGAGAAAAGCCCGTGGTCTCTCCTGGTATTTTTTTTCCTATATTCACAACGGGCCAATTCTCACAACAAGAAAAAGGTGCTGGATTTCCCTTTGTCCCAAACCCAGACGATGCTGAGCCAGATTTAGACTGCAGCAATAAGCCACAGAGGAATAAGGGCCACCCAGAGCCACCCGCTCCTACCTCCAGGAGGAGGTCGGTCAGGTTCTGGTGCTGATCCAGAAGGTGCAGAGCCGCTTCCCGGAGCTCTGCTCCGCTCCCGAAGGCGCTTTTTCTTTTCCTGGCTCTCCCTGCTGAGAAGTTGAGGTTGCTTTTACAACCGCAGCTTGTTTTGACAGCCCCCCGAGGGCACCCCCGCCTGCCCGGGTGCCAGCGGCGGGGCAGAGCCCCCGGGAGCAGGGCAGGGTGTTCCTGCCCGCTTTGCTGCCTCCAGCCCTGCGGGGACAGCCCGGCAGGAGCAGCCCTGCCAGCCAGCGGCCTCCAAACACCCGTGGCCCAAAGCA